CGAACACAAGGGTACTGTTGGTGCTGTTGGCGGTGTATTACGACAAATTCCACCGACGGTTGTGAAACCGATTATTCTGGCCACCGAGGCGACGAGTAACGTATTGGGCGGCATGCGATCATCGTTAGTGCCCGATGCGCGTCGAGAGGCGGTACAAAAGTGGCGGCAAGATTCCGATACGTGTTAATCCCATCGGTACAGAATGGGAAACTTGTTAAATCGTTATCGGATCGTCAGTCAATTTCGCTCAAACAACGCTTTTCGATCGCAGCCGAACCACTTTTTATTGTAACATATTCATGACATATACATACATGTATGGAAAAAGAATGTTAAGTAGGATAAGAGTGCCATACGTTTGCGTCACGTTTGGCGATATTGTGATTATTCATTAGATCTATGCGAATTATCGCTTGATTTATGCAATTAGGCCTCGGAGTCAAAGAATCAGGACGAATGCGAAGAAACAGACCTAAAGACGGATCGTCAATAGAAGATGAGACAAAAAGAATCGCTATTGGGTCCTAATTATATGAATGCTTGTTAACTTAGTCAGATCGGTTCCATTTATTTTTTTTGTACATTATGAAGGGTGTGCGACGTATCTGACAATGATAAATCATTTAGTTAAAGAATTGTCGCTAATTTCGTTACAATTGTACAAAATACTTGTTACACTTGTAGAATATAAAAATAACTAAGCTCTATATCGCAAAAAGGAATATATTACATTGCTTCTATATATTCCTTCTCTATACATTATATATACATATATATATTTTTTGTTTCGATCATGTGAATGTTTTATACCAATGATATGTGTATCCGAAGATTTTTATTAATAAAATTATACACACGATATAAAAGAACGCTGCATTGTTACTCTACATAATTTTTGTAACAGTCATTTAATTTATATCATTTAGTTGTAACGTGTGTATGATTGAAATTGGAGGGAATAAAGTCCAATTCTTCTAAATTTTAAAGACTGTTTAATTTGCATCTATTCGATCTTTCATATTTCTTTTCGTTCCAAGGTTCGGGTATACGCGCATCCTATAGACAGAAAGTGCGAGAGAGATGCAAGTGAGGGGGTTGGCTGGCCAGTAGCGGAATTAACGATGGGTGCGACGGAGTCGAGGGCGCGGAGGCGCGTCGTGCGCGACAGTCGAGAAGATGCGACAGAAAGCGCTCGATCGTTCCGCGTGACGAGTTAAAGGGATAACGAGGCGTCCGTTTATACGTCCGTTTGCGAGCATCGCGACGATTATGCAGTCTCGTTCGTGTTGCCGTGCGATCAGATGAAGAAACTCGATTTTCGTTCCTTGACATCTCGCTTCGACGATCGGAATGGTTTCCCTGACGCGGGTTTCTTTCGTCGCGCTTCTCTATGGTAAGCGGCTGTTGATTAAGCAAGCCGAAACGTTTTCCTTTCCTCCTGGACGTCCAGCGAGGAAGGAACAATACATTACACGATCTGGAGTCAGTGCTTTCCCGTGTCGTAATTTCACGTATTGGCCGATCGATAACGGATGACTTCGCTTCATGTTCACTTTGATTCGATTATCATGAATCTGCTGTACGCTATAAAATTGGATTATATCAGCGTATACTATACAGAATTTAAGATACTTGTTCGCATATCTTGGGATTCTCAGGCATACAATGTGTTTCGCGCGATCGTACCTATAGCAAAGTAACGTTCATCTATTATATTTCTGTTTTTATCGCATACGTATTTGCGACATAATCCAATAATAGTTCTTCGTGATGTCGAAGTCTTCTCGACAAACAAATTCAATTTGAGTCTATCGAGATGATGGGCAATTTCACATGCAAAAGGAAATCTTTTTACTCCAGCTCGTTTTGTTGTTTAATTATTACATTTTAGTTTTTCCAGCGGTTCTGACGCATACAGCAGGGTCGCGTGTACTTGAGCTGAGTGATAGGTAAGAGACATATATTGTTACTTTACTCCAACCACAAGTCTATGATTACTTAATAACATTCCTTGCAGATTTCTGGAAGCACACAAAGATGGGCAATGGCTAGTAATGGTATGTTTAATGCTCTTCTACGTCCATAAGTTTAGGAAATAATGCTATTGATAAAATCTTTAGAGCGTTTTAAAGATGCTCATTAGCATCAGTAATATTGGATCGTTCATCAATTTAATTTTCTGATATATACTCTAGCTTTAATTTATGACTGTGTCTCATCAAGACTGACAATTAATCAAATTAGAAATTGTAAAAAGTTCATATAAAAATATGCTTAAGCATCAAGACCATAGCTTTGTCCGAATTTGGGTCTCTTCGCTCACTTGTATCACAACTACTTTCGTTTTTCATAGCTATATGCACCATGGTGTGCGCATTGTAAAAGATTGGAACCGATCTGGTCCCATGTTGCTCAACACTTGCACGCAACGCCCATACGAGTGGGACGGGTGGATTGCACTAGATTTAGCAGTGTAACAACTGCGTTCAAAATTAAAGTATTTCCCACTATTTTATTGTGAGTATACAGACTTTTTTTTCGACTCTAGTTGCATCATAACGCTCGCGTGTAATAATGTTTTCCTTTTTTAACAGTTTAAAGGGCGATCAGAAATATGTATACGAAGGCGACAGAACTAGAGAGGAAATAGTGAAATTCGCTTTAAGATTAAACGGTCCTCCCGTGCAGGAAATAACAAAAACACAGAGTTTCGACACCATAAAGAGGGAACAGGATCTTTATTTCTTGTATGTAGGAAACAGGGCTGGAGTTTTATGGGTAAATTTTGTTTTCACAATTTCGTAATATATTATGAAGGTAATTTGAAATTCAATTTTATGTGTATGCATATAATGAATGTAGGAACTTTATCACAAAATTGCGAATAAATTTCAAGCGCATGCATTTTTCTATCAATCTCATCCGAACGTCGTGAATAAACATGCGCCTGTAGATAATACTCCGGCATTATTTGTGTACAAGGAAAATTTACATTATAATTTCACCGGTAAGTCGATCGAAAGAGAAAGGAATGATCATTATTATCTACTGTATCAGTGTTTAAATTCAATTTGTAGGACATAATTTGAGCGATACGAAACAAGTAAACGAAACACTTTACAAGTGGGTGAACGCAGAGCGTTTTCCAACGTTTCCGAAAGTAACGAAGACAAATATAAATGAATTATTCTTGACAAAAAAGAATCTCGTTTTAGCGGTGGTGGAGGAAAATCAATTGGAAGAAGTCGCACCTGATATGCTGGAATTCAGAGACATGGTTGAATCTGTGATCAAGAATAAACGGAATAAGTATCATGAGTACGTTGTCACATTTATTAGACAACATTTCGAGAAAAGTACGAAATGAAAATAAATTATCGTTGTGTTCAGTCATTTTCAGTTCGGTTGGACAGGTAGTCCTAATCTAGCAAACAGCGTAGCAATGATGACACTACCTATACCAAGCTTACTTGTGATAAATTCAACTACTCATCATCATCATATTCCTGACGATGATACAGAAAAACTAACTCCATACGTAATAGAATTGTTCCTAGAGCAGATTCGCAACGAGAGTGCTCCGGTAAAACATTAACGTGTATTTCATATCTGCTATTTGTTCGATCTATTTAAAAAATACGAGTTAACAAGTGTTTATGCATTTTCAGCGATATGGTGGCAACAACTGGCTAGTACGTAGTTATAGAAAATGGTTCGAGACAAAAACTATTCTGATTTCAATGTGGAAGGGCAATCCTATCTTGATGATGGTCCTGCTTGGATTACCGTTCGGATTTCTGTCGTTAATATGTTACGGTATTTGTTGTCCAGATTTGTTGGACGCGAGCGATGATGAAGATGGTAAAATTCTTTTTATTTCTCACAAAAACAATTTTTACATAACAATAATATGTATATATGGTTATTTTACACTTTTTTCAGAAAATATTGGGACGCATCATATGAAGAATGATTAAGAATAGTTACTATTAATATAATAGATATATTATACAGAATTCTCCGAGACACATTTTTCATTATGTATAGTGTATATAAACGCTTATGATTGTAATGTTTTGACAAAAATTTGCCAAAGCAGTTTTAAGATTGCGAGAATTTTTATACAATAATTCATATATTTTCGACATTCCATATTACATTTTATTTTTGATCCATTTCGTACATATAGTATTAATTCCTTTAAGGTGATTTACACGGAGCGACTTTATTCGCTTGAAGTAAGCTTCTTAATTCGTTAGTAAATCGCTGATGAAAGCTTTTCTTACACAAATAAAATCACCTATTTTACGTATTGTATATATAAAAAAAATTATGTGTATCCCTTGAGACAATACGATCTACCGAGTTAAGCGAATATGTACACTGAGAAAAATTTGTCTTTTAACACAGCTTTAACAAAAAGAGAATGTAATATATATCAAAAATTTGTATATTAAACACGATTGTTCACATAGTTTGTAAAATCGTATTAAACATCAACTAAACATTGGTTTTTGTATATGTATGGATAAAATAATGAATATTTAGCATTATGTAAGTTGTGCGGAATTGTTGTTTGTTGTAGACTGAAAGTGTGATTGTGATTTCATTTTTAGAATGAAAAAAATTTTATGTTTGCTGAATGTATTTATATGTATACAGAAAAGAGACCCAAAGAGTAAATATTTCTCCAGATACATTAATATTATTACTACTACTATAGAAAAATGACATGTGATTCTATATGGAAATGGTTGATTCTGGAAAGTTGGAAAAATGGAAGATTATGAGGTGTGATAATTTCATAATTCATTTAGATTACTATTACAGATATATATATATATATATGATACATTTAATAGCAAAATGAATAATGTTTATAAACTCTTATATCCTATTATCAAAATTCAAGTGATATTAGTAACTTTTATTTCAGTGAAAATAATATAACTAAGCAAAAAGTAGTGAATATTGTAATTTCTACAACTTACTGCACATATGAATCATGAGCACAATCTCTATAATTTAATTAATTTTGGATGTAAAATTTGTACAATTGCTACAAATCCATATCATCATCGAAATCCATAGCTGCTCTTCTCCTGTCAAACTGAAAAATAAAATTTTGATTTCATTACTTTCTATACTTTGTCAAATAATTGTAATACACATTTATATTAACTTTTACTGTTGTCTTCTTTTGCGTTTGTTGATTCACATTTTCAAGTAAATTGATTAATTCTTTCTCTCCAAGTTTGCCAGGTAGCTGTCCACGTTGTGCCATGTTTAGAAGCATTTCTTCCACCATTTTGCCCTTCTCAGGCTTTCCAAGGCAAAGTGTATTCACTATCCATAAATATATACAAAATTAGAAGCTATTAATACCATATCTCTCAATATTGATAATAAAAAAAAATTACATCTTGCTCTAGCTGACTGATCCAACACTTGAGTTAATATAGCATGTTTCATCTCTTCCATTTGTTGCATTCTCTCTTCCATTGCTTGTTTATCGTTGGCATTGTTACCCTAAAACAAAAATATATCTATATTTAAACAATTTTAATTCCATGAAATTCATGTAGAATAATATGTGACAGGTAAACTTATAAAATATTATGTACTTTACTTTTGAATGTTGGAAATATAAAGTACAAAGACAATTGATGAGTATTGGACCTTAACAATAAAGGTTTGTAATTTAGTGAAAGTTTATTCAAATGAAGGAAAATCATTGGGATGGGTAAAGAATTATTTACAATTATGTCAAGAAGTTGGAAAAAATAACATATTCAGAATTTTAACATTTAGGTGTCATATAACCTCAAGAGGTTGAAAGCACAAACGTTAAAAACCAGTGGATGTCGTTTTTACTAAATTAATGCTTAACTTTTTAAGGTATTGTAGAGAATCCTACATACACAATTTATGTATTTTAGTCATCCAAAAGGAAATAGTGATTAACGCAGATGATTTAGGTATTTATCATTATTAGCCTCAAATTACAAAATATAAAATCATGTGGAGTCTCATAATATTTACCTTATATTGAGCTTGCAATTGAGCCAGACGTTGCTGTCGTAACGCTTCAAGTTCCGGATCTGACATATTTACGTTTTTTGTATCTTTTTAGAGCTTTCTCAAGATTTTATCTCGAATTTTACTTTATCGTGTTGTATCGATATGTAAATCAATGTAAATATCTATCTGAATATTCTAAATATAAACCAAGCCCAGTCCTTCTCTACTTTCACTGCACTACTCTGCACTGCACTACTTTTACGTATGTTCAAGTTTGCAATAATAACATCCTCATAGAGTATCCTCACCAATCCTCACAGACAGTTAACGGACGATTTTAACCAATTTAACTCAGGACTAAACCGTCTCCAAATTTTCTCCCCACTCCACCTTCAGTCCAAGCCATACATAGATATGATACAACAAATTGCGCCTTCGCGGTTGACGCCAGATGCTCCGAAATGTCAGTGAAGCTGAAAATAAATAAAGAAATAAAATAATGGCCGTGTTTCTTTCTCTCTCATTTAAAGAAACAGCAATTGAATGTTATTTTTTCTTTTTTACGATTTTTCTTTACGGAATAAGGAAAACAGGATTATCAATTAAGTTTGCGATAAGTTTAAAGCGATACACAATTAAACGTTTACATGTAATGCTGCATTATCTCGTTGACAAACGATGTCGATTTAAAAACTATATTTAAATTAATAATATTCCATCAACACTAATTTTTCATTCATATTTTTACTTAATTTAACAGATATTTTATCCAACGCATTGTGTTTCATCATGTTATTCTTTATTGATTCTTTATTATCCTGTTACTTTTCATATAACGCGATACGACGATCGTTACGATTGGTGGACAAACGATAGAACGTTTCGCCTGTTGGCTATTTCCGATAATTCTCGCCCGGCGTGAGAATTGTCAGACGACGTGGCCGATGATGAAGTATGGTGGGCAGTGCAAATAAGACGGTGGATTTTATCACGAGTTTCCGATATGTCACGCAGTGAAGTTTAACAAAATCAATATTGTCGCGTTGAATTGGACTCTTCGATTGCGTTCCAACAACGTCTCTTCGATCCTCTAGTTGTCGCACGACGTTGTAACCTTGCAACATGGGTCTGTGCAAGTGTCCGAAAAGAAGAGTAACGAATCAATTTTGTTTTGAACATCGTGTCAATGTATGCGAACACTGCATGGTCACGGGTCATCCAAAGGTATTGTCTTCCCGATTATATTTTTAATATTGAAAAAAGTCTTTGATGCTTGGTTCTTCATGCGGCATCAAACGATTCATCATAACCATACATATATTGTGTTACATATATCTAATATCACTGATTTTGTGTTTTACAGTGTATTGTACAGTCGTATTTACTGTGGCTCCATGATCATGATTACAATCCAGTGTGTACGCTGTGTTCGGACAAATTGAGCGATGGAGATTGTATACGGTTGACATGCTATCATATGTTTCATTGGGTATGCCTAGATCGATATGCTAGAGATTTGCCAGCAACTACTGCACCAGCGGGATACACTTGTCCTACGTGTAGAGTTTGTATTTTTCCACAACCAAAATTAGTATCCCCAGTCGCAGATGTTCTGAGGGAGAAATTAGCCACTGTCAATTGGGCTCGAGCTGGTCTTGGTTTACCATTGGTATTTATTATAACTATAATATTTAAAATAAATTAGAAGAGCTACGAGCTAAAACAATCTCATTTAATTTCAAGTATAAAACAATGTAAACAAACGTTTTGACATTGATTGGATCATTATCATTGTTAACTCACAATTAAAAATGTTTGGAAAAATAAATAATATATAATTATATGGTTCAAGAATATAAAATTTATAAAAATATATTATTTGGTTCTATAGTTTTGTAGTGTCGATGGTTTTTTAAATCTTGATACACAGACACTTGTAATGTGGTTGTAATATTTTCTTACATGTAGTATATTTCATTTAGTAGTCATTATGTAATGTTTGCGATAAATTGTTTTGTCTATTAATTAGAATAAAATGATAAATAATAAAATATAGTAGAATTAATAGCCGTTAAATTACACAATGCAACATCTATTTAGTACAATATATTACATTGAAATTTAAATTAGTTACTATTGAAATGTATATATTTTTGTTTTGGCTCATAGCTCTTCTAATTTATTTTGTGAATTTTATTCTTTTTATAGCTATATTATTTTATGTTATTTAATTGTAACTATTATTTTACTTGTCACAAGTATTTTCCATTAATGCCAAATTGTCTTTCATCAATTAATCATCATAATTGTTTTGTTGCAGCTAAGCGAGGACAGAGAACAAAAACCAGAACAGGAACGTTCTTCGTTAACTGTAGAAAATTCTTTATTCCAAAATCACACATCTACTATACCATCGTCACCCACAGTAGCTGTGTCTCGTACAAGCAGTACTATTAATTCAAATTCCATTGTCAGCAATGTACATGCAAACAATCAAAAGCTTGGTCCACCTTATTCGGTCGTGAATATTGATTCGTCTCTGGGATTATCCACTCCAGCATCTAGAAAAGTGTGCGAAGCTTACGACGATCCAAAGGACATGTCCTTTGATCATGATGAGAATAAGTATCAACGCAAATCAGCTATAGAATGGTTTCGAAGATGGTGGAAACTGATATCAAGAGCACCAGTACGACGAAAAACTGCAGGATCTATATATAAAAGATATGCAATATTGGCTGTTATTGGTATATTATTCTTTATTGGAATTATTTTGCTCTTTTCGTGGCTAGGCAGAATGGCGACCGATGGTGATCCAAGTTTCAATGTAATAGCGAATCCTAATCTAAAATTTGGAGAGAAATCTGTAATTTAATATATATCGTACATTACGAGCAATGATGCAATAATCATTAGTCTGTCATGAGGGATGGATGAAACAATCTCTGGAAATGCAAGAGACGTGGCAATCACGAATACATAAGTGAAATACAATTAGAATTTGTAAAAAAGCACAATTTTATGGGACAGTAGAGAACATAATTATAAGCTACTATATGTAACATTTGTTAATTTTTATGTAAATTATATCTCATATTGAAATTGTATATTTAAACCTGTAAAGGCTTATCAGTTTATAATCTATGAAAATATTTTAAGAAAACTATCATATTAAAAATTTGTTTTCTTATTCATATGTTTATCGTAAGATCGAGGAACTATTTTATATGTAATATTTTATATATATAGTAACTCAGTATTTAATCCTTTATCTAATTTTTATATGACATTGTTTAACTATTAGTTTGTCACTTATATTTCATATCTTATAATTATTATTTTTTATGTAATTGATTTATCGTTTTTATTGCAACGCGAAATAGTTTTTTTTTGGCCAGACAATGCCTTCATGTAAAAATGTTTTCTATTGAAGCTGGGACTTCGAAAGAAAGCAGAAAAATTTGATATCTCTTCAAACTACAAATATAAAGAAAAAAACGCATACGATTCGACGATATACTTTTTCCTGTGTAGTGAGGGATATTGAAATTCAAATGAAGATTGTCCAATCCTTATATACAACTAACCCATGAAATATTAAAATGCTTGCAACACGAAAATACATACTCGTAGAGAACCTCTAGTAGAGGTTCTCTACATACTCGTGTTGCGAGTAAACATGGATGCGGTTCATTCATCTTCTATTTTTTTTTTAACTGTAACATTTTTTCTTAAACGAATTTTATTACATGATTTATTCCAGTTATTTTTTGTTATACCAAATAAAATATAAGAATTTAATACGTCTGTCCATGCCTATTCGAGAAAACAGAATAATAAAGAGTCTCCATATTACAATATTAATTTTCTAAACAATTAGTTAATTGATCCTCCGATGACGAGAGAGGTACATTTAAGTAAATCGAAGTTGAATATTTCGATACTGAAATGTTTTGAGCGATCAAACTTGGGAAATTTTTTTATTCTAAACACTTTATTTGCCTATTCCGCATCGAAAATAAACGGGAATACACGATGACGGGCGTTACGTGAGTCGGGTCACATTTCTTAACGTTGTAGAGAGGCTGGTTAGGCAAGTCAGAACGATCGTGTGTAGGATCATTCTCCTCGTTCCAGCCGACGTGGTAAGTACAAGGATCGATCATAAGTGTGAATTTCCATGTTTCCATGTTGTTATAAGTGTTACTGTAAAATTATTTTGGGTATTTATTTATTCAGCATTTTATTGTCAACAAAATTTACGCTTTAAAAACATATATATGTATGTTTTTTACAATTAAATAATGAAAGTCTTATCAGTTTGAGTTGGATCTTAGAAATAATATTTTGGTATGAATTTATACTCCTGTGTGTGTTCAGTTCTGTGAGTTGTGCCTCGTAATCATTTTCAGTTTTAAAACGCAATCGTACACCGAATTATGATAATAAGTACAATATATCACAAATTAGATTGAAAAATTGATACTAATAAGCATCCATGTAAGTTAAGGTTTTTCTTATTCAGTTGCATTTTTTTTACTTTACTAAGCATGACGGTATTCAAATCCATATAGCAAGCAGTCAGAGACCGGTTTGTGCATAAATCGTATAAGCTAATACGTGTTGGACGACAAGCATTTGTAGCGATCGAGTGTTCGCGTAATTTAATATGAATTCGATGGAAAAAGTGTATGGTAGCGGATGGGCAGCGTGGTTGAGAAAACATTCAATAGCATTACAAATTGGGACGACAATTTCGTGCAATGTCGCGTATCTTATGGATGCCGGACACACGCGCAAGGCCGCAACGCTTTCGATGATTTTGCTGGGTAAGAAGATACATCTGCTTGTTTTGCTCATTTTTTTTCCCGCTCGCTGACTCGATTGAATCGAAAGCGAACGATTATGGGCGTGTTTTTTAATTCATCGATTGATCAATCGCATTATGTGCAAATGCAATTTTTACGGAACAAATTACATTTGCGCACAATACGATTGATCAATCGATGAATTAAAAAATCCGTCTTATTTCTTGATGCCTTAAATAATAAATCTTTTCTAGATATATCTATTGTGTCTGATTTAAAAAAAGAAACATAATTGTTGTACCTCCTTTAGATTTAAAACTTTGCTGGCAACTTTGAAGGTACCATCGATATTTCGATTGTGAATTTTCGTAAATAAAAATTTAAATATGTGAAAAACAAGTAAAATACATAATCCGATTTCTATGATGACATATAGAGACTCGTTGTTAAAACTTTATCATACCAGAATTTGTTCAATTTTGTATATAATTTGTGAAACAATAAAGAAAACTCTACTTGAAGACCTTCTTGAAGACTCTTATTACTGATGGAAGAGTTAAAATTCATGTTGTCAACAGAGAGTCTGTTTTTTTTAGAAAAAACAAGACTATGTTAAAATAACAGTGAATTAACTCATAGTCCGCAATTTATATAGGATGCATTTTAGATATAATTTTATATAATTAACTTAATTTGTTAAATACTTAACTTTGTAATTACAACAATAGTATAAATTTTCTCTTTTGCTATTAATTGTACAGGCAGTTACATAAAACAAATGCACTATTTAAAAATGTTATCACACGTTTCGACCAATTTCTTTGTTGGGATATTCATGTGTTCAGAGAGACTTCAATAAGGCCAAGTTTGGATATACTAACTTGGAATAAAAAAAAGAATTAAAATTAACAATAGTGTCTAAGGAAATTTCTTGTGCTTTCCTTTCTTAGGTGGTGTTAGTTTGTACTGTTTCTTCAGCCGTCGGCGGAAAATAAATGCACGGGATCTTATCGTTATAACCGGTTGTAATTCCGGTTTGGGTTATAGTCTAGCGATGCACTGTCGTGCCAAGGGTGCAACTGTCTTGGCCGGACTGCGCCAAATACCGACGGTGCCTAATTCTAGTGCAATTGAAGATTTAAAAAAACAAGGTGTTATTGTTCACCATGTCGAAATCACGGATGAACAATCCGTTCGGGATTTTCGTGAGAAAGTTAAAGAACTGTTGGAGGAGCGGCAATTGGGTGAGTAATATGAAATACACAATTGAGAAAGGTGCATAATAGGGATGCAAGTAATTCGTTGTCTATAAGATTTATTGGTTTGCCGGATTTGTTGTCCGCAGTACTGCGCGCGTTGATAAATAACGCGGGGGTGATGGTTTTCGGCGAGTTTGAGTGGCAAACGCAGAAGCTTGCGGAGTATCAGGTAGGCGTGAATCTTTTGGGAACGATGAGAGTCACGCGAGAGCTGATGCCGATTTTACGGGAGAATCGCAGCAGACTTATCGTGATATCTAGCCATTGCGCTGACCAGTCCTTACCTGGTATAAGCATTTATGGGGCTACAAAGGCCGCCCTTCACGCGTGGACCACTTCCCTTCGAGTAGAGGTTGGCAAATACGGGATCGAAGTGGTCTCCTTTATACCGGGTCAGTGTAACTTTATCTCACTTTATCGGTATACTGAGATAATAATTAAGTTATTAGCGCTGAAATACGTTTTGTTGAATTTATTTTTTCGAGCTGTTTCTTTTCTTATTTTAAGTACGATTCTACCTTTTTCTCTGCTCACGACAGGTGGTTTTGTATTAGAAAGCAATATCATGAAACGGCAAAGGCTGCACTTTGATGAAATGAGACGACACATGTCGGAGGAAGTGCAACAATATTACGGCAACTATTTTACTCGATATACAGAGTACTTTTCTATGCCTTCTTTAACGGAAAATCGAGACAATCCAAAGATTGTATCCGATCCGAGAATCTATGAAATCTTTGATAACGCTCTTCTCAATGTCTATCCTTCAACGATTTACAGGTAAACTGTGGCTAGCGATGATCAGTAATTGAAATAAAATCCTACATCTCTTAAATTAGATATTACGATTATTTTAATGAACAATTATAGTGCAAATAAAGTCGATTATTTTAACGAAATATAGAAATACATCGTATAGATGCAATTACATTGATAATCATCTAATTATAAGCATATTATATAATATTAGTTTGCAGTAAAAATTTGTTTAAACAATTTTAATTGCATTTAACATATTTTTGTTGCCTATTGAACTCGAATCCGTTTTTCAAATTTGATTATCAGGTCATAAATTTGAGAAAAATTTCGTTAATGTCATATGTAGATATATAAAAGTTAAATAAACTTTTACCGCAGTAAAATACATTTTGTTTCGTTTCGATTTTTTGTTTCAGCAATATTTATATTTCATCGTTTTTTTTATTTAGTATGATTAGATTATATTAGTCAATTGGTATCATCTTTCATTATAGATTATATTACATAAATACAAAATTATTTACTTTTTACATAATACTTTTCGCAGTATTGAGATAAAATACAATGTTCTTTTTATGTTTTATTACATAAATCTTCGAAATTATCGTTTTAATCTCTTCAGAATTTTGAGAAAAAATTGTGATGTGATAGCTAAATTTAGAAAACGAATTCATGTTCAATATCTAAAAAAAAAAATTATGGGAAACAATTATGTTCGTTCAGGCACTGATTCTAATGTGTAAATTTGTAAGCTAGTATCATTATCTACGTTTAATTTTTATGATACATTTTATAAAGATCGCTCATTTAAGCAAAAAATATCGCAATGCGCTGATTACATATATGTTAAAATAACAATCGCTATTATTTTCAGATGTGAGTCATGGAGATACTTCTTTTATCGTATTTTATTCAAAAGTACTCCGACGTTCATACGTGACCGATTGGTACAACGTTTTGTCATAATACCGCCATGGAAGGCCGATGAAAAGTGAATTATTATTTTACTAAATGGAATTTTTCTTGTTTAGTACATTTAATGTTCTTTTGCATTTTTTTTTTTATTCAAAAGAAGAATATTATAATTATTCATTTAAGAAATTGAATATGATACACATTTATGAAAAGAATAATTATTATACAACTCCTCTCTTTCTTTTCCTCTCTTTTACAATATTTATCGGAATTTGTATTTTTTCGAATGAATTATCTACGATATAATTGACGCGAGTCAGACATTTTTATATTATTTTATTTATTGACGTCGTGCTGCTGATGCAGCCATCTGTTGGCGAGACAAGTTGGTGTAGCAATTACATTGTTACTTAATATTCCATGCAACTGCAATCTCATAATAGCAAAAATATTAAACAAAAATAATATTATAGCTTAACAATAATAAAATAATGATAATACGAATATGGCTACGAGCCAAAACAATTCAGTTTAATAAAATAATAGATTATTTATATGTATACAAACGTTTTGACATCGACCGAGTTATTATCAGAGTTAAATAAAAATTAAAAAGGCCGGTAAATCTTGAGAGTATAATGTACAAAACCTTGCGTAGTCTTCTATTGAGATGTTGCATTGCTATTATTATGAAATCCTTGGTTACATTGATGAACATTAATATAGAGAAGTTATTGAAATCTCACGTGAATCAATGTTATACAAAGTGCATTCTAAATCTGAGTCAAATTCATAAAACCAACAGTGATAGTTAATATAAAAGAAACGAAGTACATTGCGATCCAAGTCAAGAGTGTGTATTATTAATTGTAACCATCTCAGAAGACTAATCGCATTAATAATCAGAAGATTTATAGAATGCCCTTTGTGTAAGATTGACTCATGTGAGATTTCCATAACTTCTCGGTTCTATACTAATATTCGTCATTGTAACCGGGGATCTCATAATAATAGAGATGCAACATTTTAATAGAAGATCGCGCAAGGTACGTTTTGTACGTTTATACTTTCAAGATTTATCAGCCTTTTTAATTTTTATTTAACACTGATATAATGCCCCGATCAGTGTCAAAACGTTTGTATGTAAATAGTCTATTGTTTTATTAAACTAAATTGTTTTGGCTCGTAGCCCTTCTATTGTCATTACTAATTTCAAATATTGAAATTCACGAAAAAATGTAAATAACAACATACAAAACAGTTATAAAAATTAGCTATTTGGAAACATATACATGCACGCGAGAATAAACGCACGAAACACACATACACATATAATGTTCGTATAGATCGGTCCGCTCGAAAATAATATCACGATAATTCTTTTCATTTCTACTTAGTCCCTTATAAAGTTTTTTCTGTACAAGTAAATAAGTAGACGGACTGTTTTTCGCTCCGTTGTATAAATATTTACTTATGTAATGAAATAAAATATAATTATTCCAATTTGCGAAACGATTAACAATAGGCTGTTATTTTAAATATACAAACTGATCATTTCGAGGGAAATATTATGAAACGTATATTGAGATTCTAGAAAAATCATAGAGACTGATATAAAACAGGCAGCCAATCCGCAGCGAATAACATTTGTTACGCGATTATTTCGAAGCATAAGGTTGAAATTATCGGTGACAGCTGAAATAAATGTAAGTTTAAGGGGATAAAATTTTTGAATTTCATTGATTCTCGAACATATAACACAGTTCCTAAATTGGATTTATCAAAAGCGACGATTGCTTTATTTAATTGTTGATAGATTACGTTGATTGTATCCGGTGAGTAATGAATGCTTATGATCGATAATTTCTATAAACTTGCAACATCATCGGTGCAGGTGTTAGCTTTCGAGTGTCTGGAGTTCTTTTCTTTTTATTCGAATTTAAACTTATCAATGTTAAGGGCTGCCAGGTGTTCGATTAGATATTATCTTGCTAATAAATAAGCGATTATTTTACTGATTGGCAATCACATCGATAGCCACTGCTCCGGTGAAGACATCAAACAACATGAAAGCTTTCGCATTCGGTAAATTTTGCCAAGTGTTAATTTCTCTTATATTCGATTTACATAGCGTTTATTCAGAAACATTCGACTGTTTACATTTTTTACGTTGCAGCCTGCATCGTCCTTGCGTTCTGCATCGGAGAGTCTCTGCAAGACACTCCGCACGAGCGGTGCGAAAATGGACCTATGCCCGATTCATTGACGGTAGATGGATGCAATGGTTCTCCCTGCGATATTCACAGAGGGACCAATTTGACCGCGCATTGGGACTTTAAGGCCAGTAAGTAACGTCATACACATATATTGTGAAAAAGAAAGAATCAAGTTACTCATTATCAGCCGATCGGTGATGCAGATCCGAGCAGGAAATGATAGCGAATTAACATTAAGCTTGCGTTCGCCTCTGGAACGATTATTCGTATAGAGTTTGTAAACGTAACATCGGCAGTACGTGGATGGTACATTGACCACGAAAGTCGAGCAAAATTTGTCGAACGTAGCCTTGAAATTAAATCCGACCCTATTGCTAAATTTCCGTCAACAATTTAAACGATGCGTATGTTTCGAAGTCTGTTTTGTGTAACGCGTTTTGTTGGCAAAGCTCGTGATATTTCTGCCAGCATCATACCGATAGACGTCGCTTGACGAGAGCTTCCTAGCTGACAACATTTAACGAACTCTTTTCGAAGTATTCACTCTTTTCGTCTATTCACGATAGCTCGATTATATGAAAAATGATCGTTCAGAGATTCACAGGCTATCTTTAATTCCTTTCATTTTTTATGTAATATCTCGAGATATTAGCTTTTTAATCATTTTATTTTCCTTCTAGTCGCTGATGCAGAAAAACTGATAACCCGCGTGAAAGTCACAATCATGGGGGCCACGGTACCTTATCCATATCCCTATCCGAATGCATGCGAGTCTCTGACGAATAGCAAATGCCCTTTGAAAAAAGGCGACAAAGTAACGTACAATCTCTTCATGCCGATATCTAAACTTTATCCACCAGCGTCTATGACCATCGAGTTCGCTCTGGTCGACGAGAAGAGCAATGTGCAAGTGTGCTTCAAATTGAACGCCCAGGTAGCGAACTCATAAATAAAATAGGCTCTTGTATATGACGACCTCAGTCTTTCTATCAATGTATTACCCGGACATTCTTTATTATTTTACATAAATTGTTAAGTTTTTGAACAATAATTGTAACAGATCAGTGATATGTAATTATAGATAAAATTAAATAAATTTTGTATCAAATCTTTGTCAACGTTATTATCGACTTCCTTTCAAAATAAACAAGCTAATATAATGCGTGACAGACAAAGTGTGGAACTTTATTATTTCAGAGAATTGAAATTTAATCACAAACTTTAGAATTAATTTATATAATAATTTAAAATTATATAATATGACTAATGTTTTGCAATAATATCTTTATAGAGCATCATGTGTATTTGTAAATTTATGATTGATGAAAATTGATCATATAGGTACACTTTTTAAATATCGTATAAGTATCTATTCAATACTGTATATGAAAAGTGCTTAAAGTCAGAAAATTACCTCAAGTATATCTTTCCAGGAATGATTTATAAAAAAGGTTCAAGAGTATTTTATATGATTTTCCATCTCTGACATCAAATAATTATAGACCTCTCCTCGTCATGCTGTAGTTTTTTTTTTCTGAAAAGAGACTTTAAACTTTTGTGAGTCCGAAAACTATTCTCTTTATATATTAATTATTCCATGCGTTTGGATTTATTTACATTAGTCGTAATACGCTACGTCTGCGCGCGCGAGACGGAGCGGTGAAAGATAATGCACATGTTGCGCGGACGCATCGACGTCATAGGCGCGGCAGTTATACGGCAAGATGGCGGACGCGAGGGAAAATTAGCGGCGGGACGGCAGATCGTCTCGTCGAAGTCGAGTATCGAGTGAAAGGGATTTCGCGGCGTGGCGCGGCGCGAGACGACCGGTTTAGTCGTTTCGATCACGCCGTTCCCTCGTGAGGACGCGAAGTTTGCATTACGCCGCCGCCGTTACAAGGTATACTGTCCGTTACGCGAAACAGCGCGTCGCCCTGGTGACGTCACGGCCACAGTGTGACTCTCCCCGCCACCATCGAGCGGTAGGGTGTCGCTCTGTCTCTTTCTCGGCGACGAGAGACAGACGAGCGTTGGACGTTCGCGTCGTCGGTCGGTGGTCGGTCGGTCGGTCGGTGCTCGCGGCGCGGAGCGGCGCGTTTCGGCCGCACGGGTAGGCGAGAGTAGCGATTAGCGAGCGCGAATTGAGTCGCGCGCGATCGGTTCGCGCGTGTGCCACGGACGGAGCGAGGGATTAATACGAGTTGTGTGCTCTCTCAGTGTGTGTCGCGCGGAAGAAGACGTGTCGGAGGGCATCGGACGGTGCGAGACGTGTGACACGCGCCGCGACGCGCGCAGCAGGTAGCCGGAGTAAACGTCAACTACTACGTCAAGCCCGAGCGCCACCGGCTTGTTGTCAAGATGGCGTCCAAGGGGAAGCTGGATATCGAGGTCAGTACACTGTTGTTCTCGTATTCTTTTTTTTTCCCTCCCTCTCCAGGCCGGCCTGAATGCGCGCGAGACCCCTCGGGATACCCCGAGGTTGTCAGAGAGCGAACGCCTCTGAACGTTGCCGCGCTACGACTCTTTTTTTTTTTTTCTCTTCCCGTCGCCGCGCAAATGCCGCCGTCGGCCGCCACGGAGCGGCCAACTTCTCGCTGTTAAGTCTTGCGTCTTCCTCGGCGCGTTTCACCTTGCCCGTGAATCGACGGTCGATCAATCGACCGCCGCTGCCTCGCGCCGAATTAGCGCGCGTGGCGACGGCGCGGCGCCATGCGTCGTCGGTCGTCGCTGCTCGCCGCTGCGTGTCCACCACGCAGGAACGTCGCGTTGTCCGGCGTAACCACGCCCTGCCACGATAAATCCGTCTGCTTCACTAGCTTGGCTAGGCTCTCCGCGTCTCTCGTCTTTCACGCTTACTCCAATTGAAATCAATTAAGATAAAGGTTCTATGAATGTGTGTCCGAACGTGGCGCGGCCGTGGTTGAATCCTGGCCGGTTGTTGATTGACAGAGCCCGAGAAAAGATTTCCACCTCTAATGTTGAATCAAGTGTGTCCAGAGAACGATTTAATTGTTACGGCAAACTCCGCGGTTCCAACAATCGCGTGTCGATTGTTTCAGTTTTCTTGTTGTACTCTTCTTGTTATATGTTTAACCAGGGCCATCAATCATTCTAGGACTATACGAACTATTCGTTACACGAAATGACAATGGTTTGAGGAACGTGAATGAAAAACGTGTAACTTGAGAGGCGCGATAATTCTGTTTAATTTTTTACTCGATTTAGGTAACGTATGTCTTGGCGAATGTAAATATAGTGCAGGTGTCACTAAACGGCGTGACTCACGACAATTCCAGCCATTATCGAGAAGAGAAATTATGGAACGATTATGGCGGACGACGTTCATAGCTTACGATTCTAAAAAAATCGATATTTTTTATTAAAGAAAATATATCGTGTGTGTATGTGTGTGTCGCGTGTAACTTTTTATTGGCGAAAATCCGAGGAGTGATCGAAAATTCCTAGATAGTAAATCTAAAAAAATAAAGATAAGGGGCAATAGGTAATCGTATCGATTAGAACGTTTATGCTGATTATAATATTCTAATTGCACGTATTATCGTTCATCGGAGAGAGAATATACGCGCTTCTTCAAATAGATTGACCGCTCGATTGGCGCGATAAACGCTTACACGATAAAAGGGCCAAGAATATTTTCTCCGAGGTATTTATGTGAGCGACGGAAATATCTCTCTCTCTCTCTCTCTCTCTCTTTCCTTCTCGACATCGATATCAGTACCTCGTTAGATGGTCATTATTCGTCGTTATCGCGAACAGCAGCCACGCGGCGCGGCCGCTTCGCTTACCGTCTGAAACGTTTGCGCGTGCGATTCGTCAAGCCTTTTTGAATTATTTATTCTGACGCAAAATCATGCAGCTGCGCCGCGACGCGTCCTCTGGTCGAGCTGTGCCATCGCTGATTTTACATACGCACGACTATTTTCGTAAAAATCACGTGGAGAGGAGCCAAACCCGACGGGGAACGGAGGAGAAAGCGAGCGACGACGATCGCATTGTCCCTCTTTTAAGCGAAAACGCACGTGGCATTAAATATGTGACAGGACGCGCGTCACTTGGAAAGAAATTAGTATTCGAACCTTCTTACAAGTTTTACTTGTCGATCGTATAGTTTGGAACGTTTCAACCCACTTTTCGAGAACTTGAAGTTAAACTATGTTTGTGAGATCTCTCTCTCTCTCTCTCTCTCTCTCTCTCTCTCTACTTTGAGTGACTATGTCAGCATTTTTGAAAGACTATATCTTTTATAAATGACTCACCATTTAGTTTAAGATGATTATGAAAAGAAACCAATCAATCCTTCTGAAATCAACATGTCAGTTTAACTGCGCACAGAAAAATATATATTACATTACACGTCCCATACGCGCGCGTATTTCAAAAGTTCATATATTCGCAAATCTATTACACTGTAAAAAATAAAATGTTAATTAACACAAAAATGTTAATTTTAACTGTTAATTTAAATGTTAATTTTAACATTTTTGCATATCTCAGAAAATCCACTCACCGTCTTTGAGTTAAAATGAACATTTTATTTTTTACAGTGTATACATATATTATTTATCAACATCCGAATATTGTTTAAATCTTAGTGAATTTATCCTTTAATGAAGGATTTATTTATTAAAACAAATTTGAGTCGTTTCTTATATAAAATTTTATTATGTTCTTTAAAAGAAAATAAATTCTTGTTTTGAGAGTACATGACGAGTTTTTCTAAAATTTGTACTAAGTATATATTTTAAGTCTATTATAAAAAAAAAAAATTGTTAAATTAACACAAAAATGTTAATTTTAACTGTTAATTTAAATGTTAATTTTAACATTTTTGCATATCTCAGAAAATCCACTCACCGTCTTTGAGTTAAAATGAACATTTTATTTTTTACAGTGTATACATATATTATTTATCAACATCCGAATATTGTTTAAATCTTAGTGAATTTATCCTTTAATGAAGGATTTATTTATTAAAACAAATTTGAGTCGTTTCTTATATAAAATTTTATTATGTTCTTTAAAAGAAAATAAATTCTTGTTTTGAGAGTACATGACGAGTTTTTCTAAAATTTGTACTAAGTATATATTTTAAGTCTATTATCAAAAAAAAAAATTGTTAAATTAACACTGCAAATCTATAGCGTCAAATTTAATCCAATACGACTCGCCATTGCTCCTAATAAATATATCGTTATTTCAGACTAAAACGATAATTAAATTTGACACTATATTGTGTCAATTTAATACTATATAGCGTCAAATTAACACTGCACAGTGTCAAATATAACCATTGTTTAGTACGCAATAACGATATAATGGAGTAGGAGCAGTGGCGATTCACATTAGTTTAAATTTGTCACTATAAATTTAACAGTGAATAGTTATACATAAAAAAAAAAAAAGTAAAGCAATCACTTTTTTGCAATTATAATAGTAATAGAATAATATTTTTCTGTATGTGCGTTGTATATTATATTTAAGGCTGTATCATTTCCGAGACTGTAAAAATCAGCGAATTTATTTCTCATTAAATGATAAATGTTTCGTAAGTCGCGCCGCATAGTTAAAGTTCGAGTATACGTTACACATGTGCTAACGCAGTTACAAAATTTGCGTAGGTTGCATATCTTCTCAAGCAACTTAGCATAACCGCTTGCAAGATGCGGTTTTTGCGTAACTATCAGCGATATCTATATCGCATATTATCGCGGTTGCATTCGTTGAATATTTGATTTTCACGGAAATCGTAATTTTGCCTCGACGACACGCTCGAAGCGATAGTGGTAGCGCACAACATTATTTACAGTATATTTCGCTATTGTACATGCAGCTCGCGCATATCTCCGCCTTGTGACACGAACGCGGATATGCACACATCGTCACATTTTTCTCTTATATACGTGTATACATAATTTTCGATCGATCGATCGACTTCCGTTTGGTGCACGGAACTTCCATTCATTGTATTTCCATTTTTCCGCCGTACAGTAATTCCTCCTCCGTATATCCGTCCTGGGGGTTGGAATGAATCTCAATTTTAGATCCTATAGCTTTAATGTTTCAAGCGCGAGGAAACGAGTGGAATAATGTAGGTGTATGGTGCCCCAGAAATCGCAGGCTTCCAACTTCCACCCACCAAAATTCTTCGGCGAATTCCAAGTCGATCTTTCCCCGTGGAATTTTGGACACGATGTATCTTCACGGGAGTAGAGATTTAGTTTTAGAGTTAAATATCTGAATCTTAAACACTGGTAAGATGCATTAAAAATTCATCAAACCTTGTTTTTTTCTTATACATTTCTGTTGCTCCATTTTACATTTCCTACTTATAGTTTATATTGATTCCATGTTTTAATCATATATAATCGAAAATATGTAGTCGTTGACATTATCTTCTCGGAACATTGTCTTCTTTACAATTTGACTTCCAATGAGTATAAAAGAAATCTCATGACTTTCTGACGCATCTTGTCTAATTAGCTACGAGGGCTTATTGTCGATGCGTCATGCCTCTTGACTCCGAGTGGACGCGATTAGAGTTTAATGAGGCGAGATGACAAACCTGAATCGATGAATGTAAAAAAATATAATCCACTGATAAAAAAAAGTTGCTCGGAATAATTAATAATCTTGTGAATTCCTCCGGTACGGATTCGTGTCAAGGTCACGGCTAGTCGTGAACAGAGAGAGGGAGAATCTACGGGAGCACACAAATGCAGCCCATGGCGACCATATCATAAACTCGTTTCCCCTTCCTCTTATCTCGCGCGCACTCCGTGCGATGAGATTCGACATAGTTACGTGTGGTATACACACGTTGCTGAACATACCAGCGGATTGTAACGGGGACCGATTTGTGGAATAAACTTTACGATGTCAGCAGTTTTAAGTAACTCGATATACGTTATCGTACAGGAATTTGATATCGTTTACGCTGTGATTCTTTCGTGTTTTTCTTGTAAACAACTGTATGAACGTGTTTGGGAGAGAAGTACGGAACATACAGAACACAATTAAAAAGAGCGCTAATTTTTAATTGATTCGATTATACGTGAATCTGAAGTATTAAACGTACTTTTAAAGCGGTTTTCTCTCTCTTTCTGTTTTTATGATAAATTTTACGTTAAAACGATTTGAATTTAATACTGTCAAATTGTTTAAAATATATAGATATCGAAAGCTGTAATTATATTCAATAAAAGAACGAAACTTTCAGTAAAAAGGCGATAAAGTCGTGTTGTAGCGTGTTAAAAATCAAACGTGTCTTGGCTTTCGTAACGCACGTAAAGTCGTTAAGTTTCTTTTATCGCATTTTCTTTGTTGACGAAGTTGGAAATAAAATAACGCTCGATATCGTTATATAACTG